CCTCCTCAGCTTTTCCTTGGAAAGCAAGCCACCCAGAGACCTATTTGGTTGCAACATCATCCCGTAGCTTGGCAATGTATTTGTCCTTTGCAGATATAACAGCATTCAACCCTTCAAGCTCGCTGCAAAGGGCGCCATTAGCATCAGATAAGGCAACAAAATCTCTGGTTAAACTGGCGAAAGAGCTCTGAGCAGCAAAAGCCTCATGGCTAGCCTTGGCCCAGGCATCCCTAGTCTTTTTCTCTCCTTCCTCAGCTTTGGCTTTCACAGCTTCTAAGCCCCCAATGGTGGAAGCCTGCTTCCCCACATTGTCTTGTAGCTCTTGTAGCTGAGCTCGTAGATCATCATTTTCAAAAGCCAACTTGACAACCTTAACTTCGTAAGCCCTCACCATTTTGGCATAATTCTCCGCAGACAGGACTCTGTTCATCAAGCTCTTGGCATAGATAGTAGACTTGGGGCAGGAGAAAAACAGACAAAAGTTAGGAAAGTTCAAAAAGAAAGAAGAGGTCATAAATGTGAGCAAGAACTTACCGTAGTTAATCCGTGAAGAACAGAGCTTCTTGAATCCTCAAGAGACAGTGAAAATACCCTTTTTATATCAGCATTGGGAAGAATAGAAAGAGAGGGCCCATGCAGCAAGGTCGGGGTTATCAAGAAAGGAGTCTTCACTTTTGCCTACCTTGAGGAGCTCCTCCTTCACAGCCTTGGAACTCTCAGGAAGGGAAGGATTGATTGGTGCAGCAGGCGGATTAAGAGAGGCCAAGATCCGGGAGGTCATCTCCACAGCTCTCTCGACCTCAAAAGCAGAGGGGGATGCCTGTCCTGATGCAGCAGCGCTTGGAGTAGCAAAAAAAACGCCTTGGGAAGAGAAGTCTGGGATAGCTGGAGCAGAGGGAGTGAGTGACATGCCTGTCCTTGGCACCTTGGCAGGAGTGGAGCCATCGGCAGAGCTGGGTCCTAACTTGCGTTTGACACTGCTCTTGTTGCTGCCCTTGAGATTCTTCATTTGAGAAAGTTTAGCCCTGAGTTTAGCAGTAGTGGGCTCCATTGACGATGAACCTGCGGGACCTAAGAATAGTTAAGCCTCGCCCTTAGACTGAGAAAAGAGGAGAGAGGTTACAAATAAAAAATGTTACCTGATATATCTTCGGCGGAAAGCGGGATAGAGCTAGCAACAAAAAGTGGAAGGGGAGCTTCAACCCTCACCTCAGGAAGATAGAACTCGTGTTCTACTAGAGCCCAAGGTTGGATGAGCTCAGAATATTTCTCTGGTTTACACTTTTCCAATTTTCGCAATACTCGCTCCTCTTCAGCGCTGAGCTCAAGTCGGATACCTAGAAAACCAAGGAAAACAAGAAATAAGTTAACAAAGCAGCTAGACTTGGTTTAAATACGCTCTGGGCAGAAACATACCCAAATTATCGGGGGAAAACCACTCTGTAGGGATGAAGAGGGTATCAACTTTATTCTCTAAGTTGAACTCCCACTGTGTACCGTCTACAAAGAAAAATCTTTTCTTCCAGCCCTTATGGGAGCTTGGGAGGTCAGAGATGACCTGTTTGGCCTTAGTCCTTTTGGATATATACAGAAAACTGTCAAAGAAGGTCTGCTTGACATTGAACAGCTCCATAAGTAAGGAAACAGTAGGGACCCCAAGCTTATGGTCCTCAAAGAAGACTAGTAAACCCACAAGAATACCCCAGAAGTTGGGGGAGAGCTGGGCAGGGCAGACATTGAAGTGTTGTAGGACAGCTTTGATAAAAGGATGAATGGGGAAGCGAAGTCCGTTATCAAAAGCTGCCAAGAAGAAATAGACCTTCTTATGGACATGGTGAACAAGACTCAATGGCTAAACCCCTGGGGGGAAATGAAAGCGAGCACTGAAAACCAGGTCAATAGGCATAAGTCCGCTGGAACCTACAAGTTCAGCGTTCCTAAAGGCAGCCCCTACGCCTGAACCAATGACTCCCACACCACTCACCTTGCCCTTACCCTTGTCAGCACTAGGAGGTACATGAGAGGAAGATGAGGGAAGTTCCTTGGATTCCACCTCAGTATCGACAGCTTCAACACCGGGGAAGTTGCCAATCTCATCGCTTACATCCCTTAAATCAGAATCTCTCTTGGCAGACCTGTCACCTAAGAGGGAAACAGAGGAGGGAGTTGCTCTAGAGAAGGCAGACATGATTGACAAAGAGAAAGGCAAGTCGAAAGAATTATAAAAAGGAGGAATACTAACTAAACACCCCCATATAATCCTAGGGTCAGCGCTGTACCTCCCAACAAGTAAGAATTCGCACAGTGGAGTTCCAATCCACAAAGCGGGAAAGAGGAGATAGGCAACGATCGTGATTCCAAAAGAAAAAGAACCAAAAAATTCAAAAAAACAATGGTCACCTCGAAGTCGAGGGATCCAGAGTGAGGAAAGGCAAGAGAAAGAGAAAGGGGCAGAAGGAAGCGTACCTAGACAGGGACGAGAACAACAAACAGTAGCCAAAGAACAAAATTAGAGGAGAGGAACAAAGCAGGACTTCGAGTCGAACCCAGAAAGCACAGTCTAGAGCAGAGTATAAGGGAATCGCGTGGAGGAAAGCCCAAAAATCGCAGAGAGAAAGAGTCGGAGACGAAGGTGAACAATGTAGAAGATGGAGGGTGGTTTTGTGCGGTTTTCTTTTAGCCGTTTGAGCATTTAAGGCTTGAAAGATAGGGCATGAGGCGTGCGCGGGAACCAAGGGAGACATGATTGTTGTAACCGTCAAAAAGCCCCTCCCACGTGCATCTCACATGCAGACTAAGGTCAGCTAGGCGCAGGTGTGGTCCAAGTTAAAAGCAACTCAGCCCATGCCCAAGCTTGCTTGGGCCAAGGGCTGGGGGCAACTGATGATACCTCAAAATAAATCTCAAGTGCCAGCTCAGAAGGTTAGCTCAGCCCAGGAGGTCAGACTAGACAAGCAGAACTCGGAAGAGTAGAGCTGGAGGTCCCTTCGAAGATAAACAATGACAATAACAACCAAGACAACAGTTGGATAATCACGAGAGGTTCCTAAAGCGTTAGGAAGTTATAATCAAGACACCTAATCTCAACCAACCAAGATCTTCTCCTAGGATTAGGGAGAACCCTACGAAGTACGGGTAAGAATCTCGGCCAGAATCTCACTTAGTAGGGAATGACCCTATAAATGCACGGTAACACCTCCTAACAAGGAGGGAGAACCCTAGTGACAATAGGAAGCCATAAAAACTTTGTGATCATCGTGAATAAAACAAAAGAAGCAAGAACCTTCATCGAAGAGTGGACTAGCTGAGCTCCTGAGCCGGTGAACTACTATATTTTCACTGTGTGCACCCCTTTAATTTTTTGAATATTTTATCAGTTAGCATCATACACGAGCCTCGTAGTTTTGATTCACGCTCACCTCACATTACTCTCACTTTAAACTCATCCACGTCGATATACGTCATCAAAAGTACTTTCAAAGAATATTAACAAATAGTACCTTAGCTAGCAACAAGGGCCAGATCAAAGGAAGCACATATGCCGTAATCTGGATCCTTGGTGCTGATTTTATTTGCAAATTAAACCACATTAGCGACTAGTAATAGTTTTTTTCATTTACTTGTGCATTATGTGAAGATAGTATTGTTGTTATGATCTCTAGAAAATTTTGGATGAGTTTAATACACTACTTCACACACAAGTTAGTTTTCTCAAAAAAAAAAAAAAATTAACAAGGTAATGAGTGACAATTTTTTCTTGAAAATGCACGACTTTTAATTAGTTATTTACACAAACCGACAGAAAGATTCCTCACTATTGACTACCATCCTTTCTTTATGCAAGTAATCTGACACGTGCATGCCACATATTTGGATGAAAATAGTTGGATTATTAACTAACAAGAATCATTATGACAAAAAAAAAAAAGAATCACTATGACATGCACATGGACATGGGTATAATGTAGTATATTGAATAATAGTTATTACCAATGTAATGATGATAATAAATTAGGTACTCAAATTTTGTTTGTAAAATATCTATAAATAGCATTATTTGTTAGACAATTATATTTCATTGTAATCTAATCATTCTATTCGATTCAGTTGAAAAAAGGACAAGTGGATTTACTAACTGAGACCCTATTTTCCATGGTGCTTCGATTTCATTCCATTCAATAAGCCTCACATGGTTCTTCGACACTCTCATGCTAGCATTCGAAGCACCTCAACATATATCACCATATATTTGTGGATCGCTTTTTATTTTTTATATTATCCAAAAGTCATATACTCGGAAAATAATTGTCAATATATATGCTTCTATTGCTTATGGTATAATGATTTCAAATGTTTTAGGGAATCCACAATATCAAGGTCCCTTATGCTTCTCACCATATCAACCTATGCTCTCTACTGAAGATCTACCATGGTTGATTGGCTCTTCTGCTGCCAGACAAAAACGATTCAAATTTTGGACCCAAACCCTACATAGATCAAGAACTCTTCCATGGCTCCTTGTCAATACTTTTGCAGATGAAAGCAATCAGCATAAAAACCCGAAACAAACAAGTAATGGTCCTCAGGATCATCCTCTTATTTTTCCGGTAGGACCTCTGAGTAAACATGCAATAAATAAAAGTGCTACCTTTTGGTATGAAGATACGAGCTGCTTAGAATGGCCGGACAAGCAAAGTTCCAACTCCACAGTTTACGTCTCATTCGGGAGTTGGGTTAGCCCAATTGGAGAAGGGAAAGTGAAAAACTTTTGGAGGCATCCGGGCGACCGTTAATTTGGATACTCGCGCCTACTTGGCGGGAAGGCCTACCAGCTGGGTACATAGATAGAGTGTGGAATCAAGGGAAAGTAGTTTCTTGGGCTCCACAATTAGAAGTGCTGAAACATAGGGCAGTGGGATGTTATCTCACACATTGTGGATGGAATTCTACTATAGAGGCCATACAGTATAAGAAGAGCCTTTTGTGCTATCCAATTGCAGGAGACCAATTTGTAAATTGCAACTACTTTGTAAAGATATGGCGTATTGGGGTAAGGATCAGCGGGTTTGGACTGAAAGATGTGGAAGAAAATGTGAAGAGGGTGATGGAGGATGATGAGATGAAGCAAAGATTGATAAAACTAAATGACAATATCATGGGAAAGGTGGCATGCTCTGCAGCGAGGTCTAATATGACATATTTTACGGATGATCTCAGGAAAGTAGCAGTTGAATCTCCAATTGGAAAAACATCAGCAACCTAACGATTAGATTCCCTATTTCCTTTATATATAAATAAATAAATAAATATATATATATATATATATATATATATATATATATATATATAT